GACCCAGCCGGCGCCAGCAGAAGGAGGAGGAGGAGGAGGACGAGGAGGAGGAGGAGGACGAGGAGGAGGAGGAGGAGAAGGAAGAGGAGGAAAAGGAGGAGGATGACGAGGAGGAGGAGGAGGAGGAGGAGGAGGAGGAGGAGGAGGAGGAGAAGGAGGAGGAGGAGTAGTGGGCCGAGGAGGAGGAGGAGGAGGAGGAGGAGGAGGAGGAGGAGGAGGAGGAGGAGGAGGAGGAGGAGTAGGAGTAGGAGGAGGAGGAGGAGGAGGAGGAGGAGGAGGAGGAGGAGGGAGGAAGAGGAGGAGGAGGAGGGGGTGGAGGAGGAGGAAGAGGAGCTTGCATTATAGCCTCAGTGTCACAGAGCAGGTCGCCGTGTGGCTCAAGTCATCGTGCTGCCTCTCGGCAGCACTAGCGCGAGTACACTTGGTATTCTGACTGAAGTGAAGTAAAGATATGGGATATCTGCGTCACTGTCGTGATGGATAACTTGCATGGTAGCGGGGCGAGGTTGCGGCAAAATCTGCGCAAGGCTTGCCGATGACACGTCAAGATTGGGTCGAACACGCTTCATCACATTAAGGTGACCACGTTTTTATCAAAGCCGCTCTCTAAGCCAGCGTGATGGGGCAGCAAACTACATAATTGTACAAGGGCAGGCGGGTGACTGGGATATGTCCAAGGAGCACCAGTTAACGAGAATGCCACTATTTGAGCGTTGCGGATCTGGAGAATATGTTACACCGGAGCACAACTTATCCTTTGACGAAGCTTAGAGAAAACGTAAGCACAAGCATAAGCAGAGGTAGCAATCGAACAATACACGAGTCAACGGCAATGTTGGTCCTATGGACCTTCAGCGGTAACATATCGAAATTGCGTGAATGGACAGGTCGATTCTTCAATGTTTTGGAACAGGTGCACAAGGGGAACCGCAAGGCGGTGACGAGATTCAGTGACAAACCAGTGATCTTGGATGGGGCGGATCCAGGTACGAATGTATAAGGTGAACAAGTCTGGCTGTTGAGCGGTAAGCTCACTGCAGCTGAATGCAACATGGCAGCGAGAGAGCGGTAATCACAATATGACATCAACGAAAACCACACATTGAAATAAGATGGAGTAGACCAGTTGGGCGAACATCTGTGGTGCGTAGTCACAGACAATGGAAAGTGCAGACGTACGAGGTCAGTTGCGTGAGTTACATGAGGCAAGGAGTGATCCCGTATACGAAATACACAAATGGCATTCGGCAGTCACCGGAGTAACTGCATCTGCTCGCGTGAGCTTAACGATGAACCTGAAGAGGCCCCAAGAGGTGAGGAATACTTCGTTACGGCTGAAACAGCGGAGCAGCCTGGTTGAGAAGATGGAGACATGTGGCATCGCGCGCGTTGCTTTTGCCCCTCAGACTTGAAGCACTCAAGATAGTCTAGTCATGACCCGCGCTGGTGAATGGGCTAGCGATTGGCTACAGGACTGTTTCAAAGCCCTGGGGTCCCTGGCGGAACGTGTCATGCCAGATGTCACTTCCATTGCGAGGACTGTGCGCGCAAAGAGAGATTGGACGCCGACTCGAAGCGCAGTGGCGCGATGGAGATCGGTGGCGCAGGCCAATCAGGTGACTCGTCAAATCACGCGCCAGGCGGTGGGGCGCCCATGGCCAGGGCCTGCCGCGCAAGGGCAAAGGCACAGGTGCCTCCGAGGAGGGAGGAGATCCAGGCTGGCAGGTGTGAGGCGGGGGAGGAAAGCCTGCGGCGGTGACGGGGCCGCCGAGGCCAGCGGCTCCAGGGCGCGCCGCTGGTGGAGGTGAGGGCTGCGCCCCCGCGAGCGAGGGGGAGTGCTGCCCGCGCGGGCAGCAAGGCCGCCCGGCGGCCAAGGGCCAGAGAGATGCTGGCGAGGCAGGCCGAGGCCAGCCGCGGAGGCGCTCTTCCACGCGCGCGGGGCCGGCCGCGGCCCGGGGCGGACGCGGACTGTTGTGCTGCAGTGCCTGGTCCGCCAGAAGACGGGCACAACGACGGTAGTCACCACCCACCAGACCACCCCAACCCAACCCGCAGGCTCAGATTGACCCTCGATTTCTAGTGGGGGGGGGGTCGGGAAACATTGATAAAACTCGCGTGGAACCCGTACCCCCCCAACCCGAAATTCGGGTCTTCGGGTTGGGTTGGGGTGGTCTGGCAGGTAGTCAGGTAGAGGGAAACAATACGGGAGCACCCCCCTGCCCCTCGAACCCAAGGTTGGCACGCGCGGGGGAGACTGCGGTCGGGAGGCGCAACTCATCAGACCCGCCGCCAACTCTGAGCATTGGGGGGAGGGGGAGGCGTTCACAGATGGATGTGGCATGGGTGTTCGCTATTTTTTTCCCGAGGCCTGTATTGCTGCAGCGTGGCAGGGGCAGGAGGGAGCGCCATAGTCAGGCCGAGCCTGCCGGGAGAGGGCGGACAGGGTGTTTGAGGTCGCTGTTTTTTTTCCCCCGAGGCCAGTATTGCTGCAGCGTGACAGGCGCCAGAGGGAGCGCCATGAGCAGGCCAGGCCTGCCGGGAGAGGGTGGACAGAGCGTTCGAGGTCGCTATTTGTTTTTTCCCCGAGGCCTGTGTTGCTGCAGCGTGGCAGGGGCCGGAGGGAGCGCCATGAGCAGGCCGGGCCTGCCGGGAGGGGGCGGGCAGGGCGTGCGAGGTCGCGGTCGCGCCGCCTCGCGCACGGGCGGGAGCGCGACAGTTCCTCCCCGCCCCCCCTCCCGCGGTTACACGCCGGTCGTTGAAGTAGGTATTTTTGGCTTCCCAGATTCCAATCTGCTTCAAGCGCCTTCCTACTTCAAGAATCGGCATGCTTTTGCTGTGGTATGTTGTCTCTGGGAGGACCTGGGCCCAATCCACTATATCCGCCTTCCTACCTCATGTTTCTACCTACTTCTTCCGACCGGCGTGTACCATTCTCCATGGAGGATCCAACGTTGGTGCAGCAAGCAAGCATCGTACGGAGATCCCTTCATCAGCAACGCTACTCCGAACTTCTTATTAATCAACCGGGGGGTGACACACGTGAAAACGCGGCGCGGCCAACCCTCCCTGGCATCACCCCCGCGCCCCAGAGGGAAGGGAAAGAATCCCAGACCCCCCCTGGCACCCCCGCGGACGCGCCGCGGCCAACCCCCCCGGGCACGCCAAGGGGGGGCGATTATTAAGCGATCCAGAGTACGTTATGACCAACGCAAGCCTCCCTCAAACTCTGTGACCTATCGGGTTGTTCCTTGCGCTCGGGCCTTTCGTAAGTTTTCCGCTCGTGACACCATCGGCAGGCATGTCCAGGTCGAATGGGGGATTCGTTCTAAAGACCGCATGTCACCGAGAACTTCCCCGTTTGACTCAAGTGGCACATTGTTGCCTCTCGGCAGCATAAACCCGAACATACATAGAACTCCTAATTGTTACGAGTAAAAGAGCGCGCTGTCATCATCACTAACTCATCACTATCGTTCGGGGACGCTTGCGAGAGGAGGATGGTGAGGAGGAGGAACATCAGGAACACGGTGCTAATGATGACGACGGTGGGTCTGACGAGGACGTGTCCCTATGCAGACCACGATGGGGTCGGAGCGTGCTGGGGTGCTTCCTTGGCCGTTGTGGCCGATGAAGGGTGTCCACGGTTCATGAATTGGGCTGGCGAACTTGTCTCCCAAAGGCACACTCGGTAAGGATGGTTCTGCAGCTGTCCCTTTTCTCGTTCTTGCCATCCGAACGGATGGTTCGGATTCGGTATTCTCGACAACCACTGGACCCAACACGGATCACATTGTGCGCAACAGGAGAGGCGAACGAGTCTAGAAGGAGACCGACTCCTCTCCTCCTGCTCTCTGGTGCTTCAGCCCCCTCCTCGTCCCCTTCCTCGTCCTCCTCCTCCTCCTCCTCCTCCCTCCTCCTCCCTTCTCCTCTTCCTCTTCCTCCCTCTTCCTCTTCCTCCCTCCTCCTCCTCCTCCTCCTCCTCCTCCTCCTCCTCGTCTTTCTCCCTCCTGCCCCAAGGGGGTGCCTCGGCAGCCGAGGGCGCGCCGGGGCCTCGGAGGAGCCACAGCCCGCCTCGGCCCGGCGGACGACGGCGGTGGCCCTTCGGCAGCCCCGTGGTGCGCGCCCGCACCGCGCCAGGGGCTGGGTGGGCCCCACGTCAGCTCGCGCCGCGTGCTGCGCTGTGCGGCGGTCGAGGAGGTTCCAATCAACGGGCGAAGAACGGTATGACATAAACTTTTTCGCTGTCGGGGGCGCCTGTCCCAGGGCGGCTGGAAAGTTTATACCCTTACGGTGGCACCGTAGGGGTATAAACTTTCCAGCCGCCCTGGGGCAGGCGCCCCCGACAGCGAAAAGGTTTACCTTATACCGTTCTTCGCCCGTTAAGCCTGGGGCTGCGTGGGCCCCCCGTCAGCTCGCGCCGCGTGCTGCGCCGTGCGGCGGTCGAGGAGGTTCCAAGGTCGCCGACCCTCACCACCCACCAAGCGACCCCAACCCAACCCGAAGGCCGCAATTTTCCCTCCACTTCCAGTGGGGGGGGGTCGGGGAACATTGAAAAAACACATGGAACCCGTACCCCCCCCAACCCGAAATTCTGGTCAAATTCGGGTCTTCGGGTTGGGTTGTGGTGGTCTGGTAGGTAGTCAGACCCGAAGAGCAGGGGCCGCAGGGACCTTGATCCCAGGGTGGGCCGCGGATGAGGCCGTTCGCGAGCGAGCTCCGCGCCGGCTTTCGCTGGCAAGGCTTCGCGGCAGTGCCCGCGTGCGCGCCATCAGTCTGTGTTCTGGTAAGGGGGCTGGGGGTTTGCATGGGGCGTTGGTGCGTTGCTGACCCGTCAGTCGCCGCGGGTCGCGCAAGGTCGCGGCGGGAGCCCCCTTCGTTATGGTGAGGAGCATGAAGAACCTTATGCCGTGGGCATGGAAAACGGAAGATGATGAGGGGGAGGTGGATGAGGATAATCATGAGCATGACATACCTATACGACCACCCTGCGGGTGAAAAGG